AATCAATACTTTGATATTAATCTTATAAAATATCTAAGAAAAACAGTTCATTAGTAAAGCATAGAATTGTTAAGCAATTATATTATACAATACAATATAAGTAAATGAAATTTTAATTAATTTCATTAAGATTATCTTATAATAGTTTTAAATATAAAAATATGGTAGTTTTAATTAGTTATAAATAAATAATTCAAAATAAATTATCTAAATTAAGAACATTGGTAATTATATGAATTTTATTTAATTAAAAATTATATTATCGATTGACAAAACAAATAAATACATAACAATGTATTAAAACTTCTATAATACCATAATTGTTATAATTTATTATGGTAATTATTTAAATTCAATGTAAATAAATGGTAAAATTGCTAAGAAAAAGTTCTTATAACTTATAATTAATGCATTTCATTCACAGTTTATCTTTTATATAAAACTCTGTAAAAACATATTAATAGAAACAAATGTTTATTGAATTAATGTATTTAGAAATTGCTTTCAATACAAATAATCACGAAATTTTCAAATTTGATACAAAAAACTGAATTTAATATAACAAATTGTTTCAAACATTAGTGATATTGAAACGAATGGATCGATCGCTTGAAGAAAACAATACAATAAAACAATATTTGTTTGAAACATAAAATAAAAGAAACTTATTTTTCATTTCGTAAGAATTTAAACAAATATGAAAAAGGTTTTCTTACTTTGAAAGCAATGATCGTTTTGTTTCACAATTGAATGTTAGGAAAGAAATGTGGAAAATCTGATGAGACTTAATAAGTGACTATATTTGAAGGCATCCCTTACAGCGCGATGTGATTATGAGAGATATCACATAAATATAAAGTTAATACAATATAAACACATTTTTATATGAAGTCAATGCATTGGTGTTTGTATGACGAGTACGACTGAGGAGTCGGTGCAACTCATTGCCAGTACTACCAGTGCTTTACCACACAATCAGCCAGTGTTTCAATTATAACAATATCTCGATTTAAAAAACTGTTTAAACAATAGAGAAGTTGATGTATAATAGGAGTGACTGGTTGTAAGGTATGGCTAACGGGAATACTAATGACACGAATTAAGCATTAATACACCAAACACTCAAACATTACATTAAATACGAGTGACTCTAAGCCCACAAATGAAAAGGAAAAGTTAGAGTGAAGTGAAGTCTATAGCCTTCGAGACTCAGCCATCAGTTGTGGGAAAAATGAATAAAAGAAGAAAACGACTCATGAATTGGGAGAAGAGTGAGAGTGAGAGTGAGTGAGTGAGAGAGAGAGAGAGAGAGAGAGAGAGAGTGAGAGCACAAGTAGTTCACTGAGAAATGTAACGCTTATATCGAAACGGAAATCTAAGCCAAACTTTAATGGTTTCATGTGTTGTATAAATTGCATGAATTGTAGTTTACTTTTCTGTATATGGGTTTCGATTAGAGCCACAAAACATTGAGAGAAATAGAGAGAGAATGTGATTATCGGAAGAAATATAGTACTAAGGATTGAAATCGCAGGCAAACTGTGTATCATTTCGAAACATTTTTCAGTATATTATTTGAATTGAGTTAACGATTGCATTGAATTTGGATTTATTTTCGGGATTTTAAGAGCGAATATACGAAGGGAACGGAAAAAATTGTTATATCATTTGTAACCGAAAAAGAAAATGCATTAAAACATGAGGTTTACATTTACAGCGATTCCTTATTTATAAATAGTAATGGATCACCAAATACTAGATTTGTTTTACCAAATTCAGTTCATTGTTACTCAAATTATGTACTACACGACCAACTGATAAAACTATTTTATGTATAGTTATGCTTAAAATAACAGCTCCTGTATGTGAAAGTGGGCTATCAATCGATTTGATTCTTTACATACCATTAAAACAAAACATAAATTTCCCATTCAATAGTGAACTATCTTATAAATACAGTAAAACTCAGCAAAAATATATTGTAATTATTAGTTAATTATATCGCACTCTTTAGTGCTTTTTATCAAAACTCATAATTCTCTTGAAATCTAACTTTATTGTCAAATAAAAGTATTACTCATATAATTTCTATTATATTCAAAATATTGTATATAAAACACTCATTCGATAATGTTGATATCATGTTTCAAACATTAAATGCAAAAATCCCTAAAAATTTCAATTAAATTATTTTTATCTTTGAAATGAGTTTGCATTTAAACATTAATCGATGTTTTCTTTCAATGATAGAAATAAAATTTTCTCATTTCTCTTGTTTTCTCTCCTAAGGGAAAGTAAATTAGGTATCATTTGAATAATATTTTTAAAAAANTCCCTAAAAATTTCAATTAAATTATTTTTATCTTTGAAATGAGTTTGCATTTAAACATTAATCGATGTTTTCTTTCAATGATAGAAATAAAATTTTCTCATTTCTCTTGTTTTCTCTCCTAAGGGAAAGTAAATTAGGTATCATTTGAATAATATTTTTAAAAAATAAGTTATCATTCATTCTGTCAATAATTAGCGTATCTGTAAACGAAGGACACTATAGTTTTGCAAAGAATAAGAAAGTTTTTATACATAACTAGAAAAAAATGAAATTATTGTTATTATTTATATTATTACATGAATTGGTATATAATATAATAGGGAATAACACTTACATTATATGTTGTTCTTCAAAGTCAAAGAGAAAAACTTCTCTTCAATTAATGCTTAATAACATAAAACACAAAATAAATGCTTATTCTTATGGATAACTAAATAAATGGAAGAAATGTTTTTCATCTAAAACATTGACACGAATAGTACTGTAATAGTGAACGCATTCAACATTTACCACTAATCGAGAGAAAGTGTGACAAAAAAATTATGTTTTCTTTTCTCACAATTTCGATCTTCTGGTGAAGAATTGCACTCAAAATATTAGTTCTCGACAGTAAGTTATTCAAAATTGATTGTATCCTTAATTTGCAATTTTTATTATTGTTATTATTATTTGGGTTCTAATTATAGTTCCTTCCGCTTAAGAGATGTTCAGCTTTTGATGACAAACACGGATAGGAATGGAGACTAAAATTGTATTTTCATAATTTATATTATATATGGTATTGTTCAATTGCTTTGCCTACTGTTTTGTCATATTAATAATTTTATATTGTGTAAATAACATCTATCACTGTTCAATTTTCCCTTATTTTTACATTAGTTAACAATTGCTATAACAATTGAGCTTATTCATTTAGTAAATATTTGTTCTGAAATGTTCATTAACTTTTTTATAAGTTCTTATAAAATTGCTATTATAATTTGTTTGCAATTTACAAATACAAACAACAACAAATTAACTTTTAAGTAACTTATTATTTATTGTGTAAACAGTATTTAAAAAGTGTAACAAGTTTAAAGAAGCTATTGTATTTGTTTCATTATATTTTTTAATGTTCAAGTTAATATTAATCAAATTATAATACTGTACAGTTCTATAAGGTAATTAGTTAATGTATTATTTAATATTATAATACCATATATTGAATACACCGCACAAAATACTGTTTTCTATATATAACAAACTTATTCCGGTGCATCTCTGTGTTAATACAGTATAATATTATATATTTTGGGTTTTATTTTTAAAAATGTATGATTTGTTTTGCAATTATATTCAGCTTCATATCTCTATTCAAATTTGACAAAAATATCAAATTATAAACTGATTATTGAGTGAAGCCTTGAAACCAATTTTTGATCACAACTTTCATCATAATTATGTGCCCGAATAAAACGCGTTCATTAGGTATAGTTTGTGAATTCATATACTTGATTAAATGATATAATTCAATTGATTTGTCATATTTTTATGCAAAACAATATAAATATAGAACAATATATTGATGTCACATAAGTTAAGTTATGTTGACTTCATTTCACTCTCAGATCGATAATAACTATTGAAAGAAAGTTATTAATAAAATGGTGAGTGATTGTGAAAAATCTTTAAAAATTTACATTTTTAGTGTATAGAGTAAGCGATTTTGTGATAGACTATATCTGTGATAGTATAAAATGAAAACTCATAAATTTTAGTCAATTTATACTCGTAATACAGTATCTGTGATTGAATCTACTATAAAGATAAAAATCTTCAAAGATAAATACAGTATTACTTATTTTAATCGTAGACTTAATTAGGCTAATTAGTCAAATAAAGCATTTCACTCTTACTTGAACCGTTCATATTTAGTTTAGTTGTAATTCATTAAAAGTTTAAAATAAACTTAAAAATAAAATCTAGTTCGTTTAAGAAGTTGTATTAATAAATAAGAAAGTGTTTATAAAAATTTGTTGCCAGAAGTTTTGCTTTTTATTTTATTATATAACTCGTAAATTAAACAAACTCTGCATTTAATTTACTCCGTTTACTTTGTATAATATACTGTAAACTTATGAAGAAATTGTTTAGAATAATTTAAAATAATTTTTATAACTTAGTTAATTAGTTGTGAAAATAAATAATACAATCTAGTATAATTGTGATAATATTTATTTTAAGTTGTAACTTTAAATAATTGTCATAGCTTTGTCCACAAGAATACCGTAATATTATAGCAAATAATTCATCTGAAAATAATTTAATGCTTTTAATTATTGTCAACTAAATATTGGTTTGTTTAATATATTTAATATCTGCTTCTAATGCAATATTCACTCAACAAAACCTTGAATTTCATATAAATTTCTTCATTGCGTGTGTTATCCTAAAGAATATTTTAATTCATATGTTAATATAATTTTTCTTTATGTCATAATAAACTATGAATAAAAAATTTATTCCCAAACTATTATTACTGTTAAGTAAAAATTGGAAATGACAGTGGATTTCAGAAAAATTAATATTTTTTTATTCAAACCATTAAATATGTCTCTTAATCGTAAAAATGTTTGCAAATAATTTATTCATATTTTCAGATCATGTCATAAAGTTTGGCACAATTCATGGGATATATAAATGATTCGTTGGTTTCATAATTGATTTGAATCGACAAATCGTGAGACAACAATACTGGGCATGAAATCGTATTAAGACATCCATTTGTAGTGCATTTGTGACGGATATGAGCAGATGGACCACCAGAAAGTGCTTCAGACATCTGCTAACTATGAACCGAAAGTTGTCTTATTTGGCCACTCTTTTCATCGCACTCTTCCTGATTGTCGCGTATTTGCAACAAAACAAAATGTATGACATTTTCAACAAATTTTCAAATTACAGTTATCGATGTATTTTTGCTATTTATACACATACTGTATACTGTACAGAATAGCAATTAACACATATTCTTATAGAATCAAAAACAATTAACTTATTCTAATGAAATGCAGTATTTTCAGTATAATATTGTGGAAATGAAAGTTTATTATTATTCTTAAGGTTATAAAAATTTATCGATTTTATAATTCTACTAACATTATAGACTATAATTCTAAAAATTGAATATTCTATGAATAAATTTATTTGATACACTTACGTTATTTTAAATCACTTATTTATCTTCTTATATATATAAAAGTTATATAAAAGTATCGTTTACTGTCTGAATGAGGATATGGCCTAAAAATAGAGCAAAACTATGCCTTAAATTTGTTTATTATTCGCGACTTAGAGACAGACAAACAAAAACTCTTTTGACAAATGTATAAAAGTTTTTTTTGTCTAATGATATGTGACTCCACTTTTTCCATTTTTATTTGTTTAATATGTTCCGCAATACGAGTCATACTCGCTATGATTGTAATGAAGTAAACGAGTATTTGTTTTATTTTATTTCATATATATTTTATTCATTTTATTTGTGTTTTTCTCTGACAGTACAGAATATTCTCGCTATAATTGGCTTCAGTCAGGAAACAGAGAACTTCTAAGTCTACACAATGGTATCGCTAATTATAAGCAAACCCCAAACTCGACACAATTGACTCCGAAAATCGATAGATTGGACGTAAAAGTGATCGATAATAATGTGGATGAAAGGAAAGCGGAAAAAGTGTGGACAACGAGCACATCGGTGTCGGAGCCGACAGCACCGACACCGACACCGACAGGGACAGGGAGTGGATCACCTGTGTGCTCAGCCAAGTATAACATAGTGTTCCTGAAGACCCACAAGTGTGCCTCGTCTACCATCCAGAATATATTCATGAGAAACGGATTCACTCACAACAAAGTGTTTGTATTGCCGGCGAAAGCCAACTATTTGGGACATCCGATGCCATTCACACGCGATTTGGTTCCCGATCCCAAACAATTCGCGCACGAGTACAATATACTGACCCACCACTCGCGCCTCAACTACCAGTCCATGCGCTCACTGATGCCAAACGGGACGCTATTCATCACTATAGTGAGGGATCCGGTGGATCTGTTTGAGTCGATGTTTCATTACTACCGGTTAGACAAGTTCTGGAACATTACTTTCGATGTGTTCGCCAATCAGTCCGTTAGGATTCCCGATAAGTTAAGGACAAACCGATATATCGGCAAAATAGGCATCAATCAGATGATGTTTGACTTAGGAATGAATATCACCGACTTCACCAAACCTTATACTCTCAAGAAATATATCGACAGTTTAGACTCAATCTTTGATTTAGTTATGGTCTCTGAACGTATGGACGAGTCTCTAGTCCTTCTCAAACACCTCTTGTGCTGGTCTACCGATGATATCATTGCATTCAAGGTTTCTACCATTTACTATATATTAATATTCTTGAAACATTAAGTTTTCCATTCATATTTAATTCTTATAAGTTAGCATCAATTTTTAAATTATATTATCATATCTTTTTCCTTAATAACTATTATTGAAGATATTAAGCCAACCATTTATCTTCCAAATTAACCCATTATGGGTTAAAGATTGTCTCATATTCATAATAATAGCTTCTCATTTGTATAGAAATCTTGTTTTAAAAACCATAAATACCGGTAATAAGCTAGATATCATAAATATTTTTTTAAGACTTATATTAAAAACAAAATACATTTCAATATTAGTTGATTTATATTGAATTTGTATATTAACTAGAAGTACAATATACCGTACTTCATAATACTGTACTTATTACCTTATATTTTTGTCATCATATCAAGTAATATAGAAATATAATATACCTCCAAAAATAACTATCGAATTCATAATTACAACATTGAAACTTTTTAATATAAACTCATTTTTAACTCGAGACTATTAATGTTATTATTACTGTTACTCTAGTGATTTAAACGTCAAGTAATGGAAACTTATAAACTTTAACTTATAATTAATTTTAAAGTCAAGCATTTAATG